ACAACTGTAAGAAAGTTAAACATTAGTAATAATTAGAGACTTTTATGTGTCAGGTGATTAGGAGGAAGGGCCTGGAGAGTCCAATGGCCCTAAATTTAAATCCCAGCTCTGTCATTTACTGATCACTAAAGAGCTTCCGTAGTGTTGTGCCCGGCCCATAACGGTACCCAGACGTAAGCATCTCCATCCTTATTACGTGAAGTGCTGTTCTGCTGCTGACACTCGGTGACACCTGCTCTTCTGTGTCTCCGACAGGTGCCAAGGATATTTGTCAATGGGACTTTTATTGGAGGTGCCACCGACACCCACAGGCTCCACCAGGAAGGGAAACTGCTTCCACTGGTTCATCAGTGTTACTTGAAGAAAAGCAGCAAGCATGTTGGCGACAGTGTTTGAGGATGTCTCACTTCATGTGACCAGTCTTCATGAAAACGTTGCTAAAATGATGAACAATAAATCGCAGTGGAAACCTCATCTTCCTGCTTGCCGTTTTTTGAGCAAAAGAGATGGTGTTTAGAACTGGAGGAAGGGAGTTGTGTCAGAAGGAAAGGAAAAGATGTGTTTTGTTGGGAATGTATATGTGAATTCTACAGACTTGGTGTTCTTTATTATGTATACTGTTCTGAAGGAGTTAACGCCTTACCTTTTACAGGTTTTAGTGATGAGGACTGATGTGTAATTTCTCTTTAAAATGTAAGGCTCTCACTGATACGGCTGTGTACGTGGCAGGGATGTGTCCTTGTCCTGTACTGCGACAACAGGCCCTCCCACTTGGTACTCCTGGAGTCAGAGAAGTATATGACATTGGTAGGATGGAACGAAAGTTATTCCAGAAAAGCAAAATCACGCATTTGAGGACTGAATGGTTCCAAAGAACCTATGGGCAGTATAAAAAAGAGAAAACGGGCCCTAGCCGGCTTGGCTCAGTGGATAAAGCGGCGGCCTGCGGACTGAAGGGTCCCAGGTTCGATTCCAGCCAAGGGCACATGCCTGGGTTGCGGGCTTGGTCCCCAGTGGGGGGCATGCAGGAGGCAGCCAATCGATGATTCTCTCCCATCATTGATGTTTCTATCTCTTTCTCCTTCTCCCTTCCTCTCTGAAACCAATAAAGAAATATATATATTAAAAAAAGAGAGAGAGAAAGAAAGCAGGCCCACAATGGAGTCACATGTGCTAGCCCACATCACCAAACCAAAACCTAACACCCAAGACCTAAACTAACTGCAGCTTTGGCCCCTCCTGGGAATGCAAAGGTAGCGGGTCAGTCTGGAATCTCCTGGTCACCACATGGGGGGGTCCCCTGGAGACCCCTGCTCCCCCAACTCTCCGCTGTAAGCTTCCTTTCTCACCCCTTCTGCCCATCAAAGCCTTCCATTCCGTGCAGCTCTTCAACAGAAATGAGGAAAAGGTCGGCCTCGTGTGGAACAATTCAGAAACATCCTGGAGTTACTACTGGCGTCTAGGAAGTGTGTTCCCAGACGATCCCACAGTCCTAGGGACCGATGACCAGATGCTGGGACAAGAGAAGCTACCCAGAGAGAGGAAAAGGGATGGTAAGAGAAGTGGGGTGCTTTTACCCTGGGGTCAACGTGGACCAGGGGAGCTTGGGACAGTCCGGCGGGAGACAGCTGGCGGCGGCTTGGGCTCCCTACGCGGGTTTATGAAATTGCCGCTGGGGGGCCCCGATGAAGCAGGTACTGGGACTGTCTCATTCTCACGTGATCCGTTCTAACACTGGAATGCAACGGAAAGGAACCAAACTTTGGCCACCATGGAGCTGCCTTTGGGGTATTGATTTTCAGCTACTTATTAGGAAACAGAACACTCAGAATTCAAAAAGACCTGCTCCAGGGGGACCTGAGGATGCCACCTTCGCCGAATCTGCATTAAGTGTGGATGCAGAACAGGGCTTTGCGGGTGCCTGTCAGCCAGATACCCCAGGTCCCACCGTTGCCCA